AAATGCACAGTATCTAATCAGGCGCATAAATGAATGTGTAGACACACCCAGTATCTCATGAATCTAGACCTCTGCTTCTCACATACCCATGACACAGCCTTGCTTTCATTTTTTTAAAGACACTTTACATTACAGAGCTCAGAATAAGGCCATTGAATGTTTTAGGAAAAGAAAAGCACACATTTAGGCTAAAAAAAAAAAACAACAAAAAAAAAAACCCCACCACCCAGGCCAGATCCCCAGCTGCTGCAAATCAGGGTCATTCCAGTGGGGCCACTGTTTCATACCAGCTGAAGATCTGATTCAGAGGTCCAACCCAGCACTGATCTCTGCTGGATGTGAATGCATACCAGCAAGGGGGGCTTTACAGATGAAGCAGCTTGCAAACCTGGCTGGACAAGACTTTCTGGACACCCTCTCCCTTCATTCCCTCCTCCCCTGCAAAAGAAAGGATGACCAGGATGTTATAGACCAATTTCAACAATGGGATAGCAGAAACATCTCCCCTGAAGGCAATCCATTCATTCACATGAAGGCAGAAATTAGCTCGTTAATCTTGGATTACGTTGCTACTGGTTATTATTTACCAGCCTGTTCTGAAACCACCCCCCCTTCCCAAAAAACACAGGGGGCTGGGGGAGAAGGGGTGCAGTGAAAGGTGGACTTCACCCTTGTGCACCAGTTCCTTGAAGGCTTAGTCAGTGTGTGGGCCATGCTGGGTGAGTTAGTGCAACCGGCCTCTGAGAAGCAATCAGTCAGCCTGTGAAATCACCAGTTAAATCAACTTGAATGTGACACATTAGGAGAGAAATTCTCCAGGACAGTGAATAGAAATTTTTCCGGTGAATGACTTTCCTGTAACCGCACAGTATCTATAAAGATATATTTGTAAAGAGCTCCATATTAAAATTCCTTGAATACATTATATATTAAATACAGTAACAACATTTTCATGCAATGTTTTCTGTACAATTGAATCAGCTCAGTAGTATAACAAGTCTGTACATTCCCACTGGTCTGGGGCACTACCCATCTTTTTCAATGCTGGTGATGGAGAAAAAAAAAAAAAAGGAAGGGATGGTGTTAGGCACATACTGTACATTATGTGGCCAGCTGGTCGAAGTACAGCCACATGTGAAAGAGAACCAAAAAAAAAGCATTGGAGGTTTTTAAAAAGAAAACACAAAACCTGATCAGAATAGTAACAGAGAAAAATGATATCAAAAGCATTACTCGGCCCTAGTGCCATAGTGTACACAAGGTTGAAGTTTAGAAAGAAGGAAAAGCTGCTGACTCCTGCTAACTGAGTATCATCGGGACAGGGCTCTGAGGAAAGGGAGGAATGAGGAAGTGGGAGTATTTAGAGAGCTGGAAAAGCAGCTGGCTGTATTTACAGCCAAGCCCTCAGCTGGTGCAACACGGACTTTGACAGATCAGGTCCAATCTACTGGTACACACAACCTAATGCTACTATGCAAAACATCATCTGCACAACTCTTCTACTGGAAAACAATCTCGAAGGACAGAAATAAAGAAAGTGCCTTTACAGGGGAGTCCACAAGTGACAGTGCTCAGGGAATGGGGCTTTATTATGTGGACATTTGTTTCCCCTGTTGGAGGCATAGCACTGATTTTAAGAATGGTAAAGAAGATCACAAGGGAACAAGAGGTGTCCCCCAAAGCTAATATTATTAACTAATGCTCAACTGCCATCTGAGAATTAGTCTCATGTTCTACTTTCTGTACAATTATTTAAAAAAACGTGCTTGGTCAGAAAGCTTGATCAAGAATGGGCAGTAGATGTGGTTGGTTCTAAAATCCATCATTCCCATGTTTTGTCGTAAAAGTTTACTGTACATGGAAATGTTTCCAACTGAAAGCACAGGAAGAGATTTAATGAGGTCATACAGAAGAGGAAGGACAAGAGAACTAAGCCACATTTGGTGTCTAATGAGCCTGAGAAGATTCAAGATTTTCAACATGGAGAGAAGATAGTAACAACACAGTAAAACAAACAAAGGGGGAGGAAGGGGAAATCTACAGTTGCAACCACACAAATCTCTGGAAGTGCACATCTGCAGCATGCACACTACTAGTAATTCTATCAGGACACAGGATATCTATGTCCATACACTGAAACTATCTTGATGATGTATGCTACTAAAGTTGGGCAGCTAGGTAGCATGGCTGTCAAAGCAACAGCACTGCCATCTAGTTCCTATGGCTTTGGTGGACACAAGTCTGCTCAACTGGAGGCCAGCCAGCATGAACTTCTGCATCTTATGTGCCTCTTTCACTTATCCTTCCTGTCCTTCCATGCAGCTGGCCAGTGTTTTCTTGGTGCCCATTTTTGCCATGCCGCACCATCTTTTTCAGCTCTGGAACGCACCCCTGGCATTTCTCACGCACCGATTCCACAAACCATTTTGATATCATGGCTTTTCCTCCTACTGTGCTGTCACCAAGTGAAGGATGCTTGCTGACCTCGCTCTCGAGGGCTATTTTTAAGAAGTGTCACTAATTTTTCATGAATAGATCCCCAAAGAGCTGTGTTACAATGACTCAGTTACATATAGTTCCATCCCCAAACCATAATTTAGCTGTCCAGTAATTGCACCATTATATACAGGAAAAAAAAAAAAAATAAAAGCTACGAAACGAAACAAATCAGTATTTTTCTTTTCGACAATTCACCCGCATTAGTCTGATAGTTGGACACATGCATGTCCTGCTGGCTTCTAGTCATGGTCACGCATGCAAGACTTCAGTCCGAGTTGCAGCTTAGGGTTCCTTTATTTAGATAGTGAGCTTCCTTTGTGTCATTCATTTCTTGTCTTCTTCTGAAAAAGAAAGGAAATTGGCTTATGGTTAACAAGCAGGGATGATCACCTGTCTTTTGCTATCAACATAAACACTTCACTGGTTCACAGAGCTAGGAAAGACCTCACAGTCATGAAAAGACTGGTGTCAGGAGTCTGGGCTTACAAAGTATTAACATCCAATCACCGTGAGAATGGACCACCAAGCAGCAGGATCTGTTGCCCGGCTCAAAAACGTGGCACCTTTATCTGCATCTTTCACATGCAGGTGCCCAAGCCCCATTTAGCCACCATGAAACAAAACCACTAGGTAGTTCTAAGACACTTTCTTTCCCAGGATATCCAAGCACTCTGTAAACATGTCTTGAGCCACTGGAAGGTCAATAGTTATCCTCAGTCCACTGATGGGGAAACTGAGGCACACAAAGTAGTTTAGACAAGATCGCTCTAAGCAATCACAACTAGGTTGGGAAAGGACGCTAGATGTCTCCAACTCCTAAGCCTGTGCTGCAGCCACAAGGCCATTCTTTTTCCAGTTGATGGCAGCAGGAGATGCTTGCTATGAGACATTTCATGTTTAAGCATTCAAGGAAACTATGCCGTTCACAGATTTCACACACATTAGGGCTGGAAGAAACCTCGGAAGATCATCGAGTCCAGCCATCATGTGCTGACACATGACGCTTTACAGAGCTAAAGCCCTCTGTAATGGGGATTGAGAGCATAAGTTCTCCCATCAGCTTTGAACAATCTCACGTTAAATATGTGGGGCCAATGCCCAATAGTACTGGTATCTTTGAGTAGCTGCAGTGACTTCATTTGGGCTCCCCAGGAAGGAGCTATTAATACTCAGCCCAGAAAAGGCTACAAGTACCTACCCCCTTTGTCAATAAGAGCACACATTCAGAAAAGAACGGGAAAAGTAGGTCTCAGAAACATTTAACTGTGCTTCATGGAACAGGGCAACTGCATCTCCCACAAGGGACTGTCATTTTAAACAATCTTGGCTAGTAAAGTCCCTCCCTGAGGATGCAATGTAGGGCTGAACAATAAATCCAGTTTCATCACTGCAGATCAAAGTTCCTTTTGTCTGATCCATTTTCAAAAAAAGAATTTTTCAGCAATGTTGCCAATGTTAATTTTCCCCTTACACTAATGATTCCTATGGTATCTGACAAGTTTTTAATGCGCTTACTCTCCTGTGTATTACTTGCAGTCGGATATTTGAAAACCTGTGGGATTGCATTTCACTCCTCCGTGCTCTTTAACGTTACCAGCCACAGAGGCTGGAATAAATAAATTAAGTTCCATTTTAACTTGGTTTCCAGTTTCAATTTTTAAACTGCAAGTGCTACCCACTTTTCTATAACACGCACTTTCCATAGTGCACTCTGGAAGTTCCTCTCCCATACAATTACCACAGTACACGTCTAAACCTACTAAATAACACTTGAGCCCCAGATCAACTTAAAGTGCACAGTTCAGTGATCTGTTTACGTTGCACTTATAACCGCTACCTCAGCTAATAAGTAGTGCTTAGCACAAGAGAGGAACAGAAACAATTTAGCTTTAATCTTTGTAAAAGTACAGAATTAACACATTCTGATACACCAAAAGAAGTCAAGAAATACACAGCAGTTAAAAACCAGTGTAATGCCTCAAAAACAGCAGTGGAGTGTCTCAATGACCCTGGTGTTTAAACTCCCACTGGAAGTGAACAAGACTTTAGACCTTATGGCCACATCCCCACAAACAGTGGTGTGTTCCTGCAGGAAAAAAAAAAAAGCAGAAGCACAAATTTGCACCACTGCTTTTTGCCCTGGTGCATGCCCCTGTATGTGGGGTTAGTGCAGGAAAAAATGCTCTGGGTAGGACAGGGGAGGCTGGGGCCAGCACCTAGGCTGGCCCCCCCAGCCTTACCTATGAGCCTCCCAGGGCAGCAGCAGAGGCAATTCAGGTGTGCGGAGCCTGGCCAGCAGCCGGAGCATGGCACTGGCCAGCCAAGCTGTGGTTTTGGGAGGTGCATGCTGCTGCCACATAGGTTGCCCAGCATTTTCTTGGTAATTTTTTTTTTTTTTTTTTACACTGGGAAATCCTGGTGTAAAAAAAAAAACAAGAAACAACAAAAAAAACCCTGCTGCACTGCAAACTAGCAGCACGGTGGACATGTGCACGTGCACTGCGTGCTGTCTGCAGTACCACAAACCAAGTGTGCG